CACACTTTGGTGACGACAGTTCCCGAGGAGTACCTCCCCCAAGGAACTTTCGTCATGTATGACAAAAGTGCGTTCGTCATAATGACGAAAGTGTGGTGTGACGAAAGTTCCATAATCCTATGTACCAGAGGTGGAATCGGTTCGTGTTTTTTGGAAACCGAACCGAATCGAACCAAAACAATTGATAATACTCGAAGGATGTAAAAACTTGAAAAATCCTTCGAGTTCAGAAAAACCTTTAATATCTCGGCTCCAGATCGATTTGAAGTCTTCAAGAAATTTTTTTCGAATTCAGCGTTAAAAACTGAATATAAAAATCGTGTGTGATCAATTTTGAAGTTAAAAACCTGTCCAGCATGGATGTTCCAAACCAGCCTTCTAAAGCGTTTTAAACTTGAAGGATTTTTCGAGTTTTTACATCCTTCAAGTATTTTCAATTTTTTGACATAGAAAAAATTTTTGAAACATTTTTGAAATATACATTTCATTAATCAGCTCGATGAGCTCTATCTAACGCTGTATAAAAAGTTGGAAAAAAATGTGTACTGCAAGTTTGCATTCCACGCACCGTATTCTGCTTGACGCGTCGGTAAAAGTTCAGTGGAAGAGGAGAAGAAAATACTAGGAGACTCACCTAGTTTCAAGACGCTCTGTCATTTATGATTTGATATCTTTTTGGACCCACTATTTTACCAGATAGACCAAAAACTGTCCAGCATGCTGCATTGGAATTTTTATCGATGAGAGTGATGATTCCTTCCTTTTGTATTTGAGACAAAGCGTGATCGTTTATGTTATGTGTCTCTCATCCGATGAAGCAGATAACACAGGAAAAGGAGAACTCGTTGACTATATGGGGACTCCGTAGGGATGTAACAATACCAATACCGACCAATACCAATACCGACCAATACCAATACCGGCCAATACCAATACCGACCAATACCAATACCACCGATACCGATACCAATACCCCAAAACCCTAAAACCGTATTGGTATTGTTACATCTCTAACGAGGACGGAAGAAGAAACATGGTTTGAATACGACAGAGAAGGAATAGTATCGTTCATTGTTGCAAACAAGTATGGATAATGAATGTATAAAGAAAGAGTCAAACAGTTTATCATTTGTATATACGAGAGTTCAATCAGACTAGTGTTAAACTGACTAAATTAAGAATGACATCTATCTTTCGTGCAGTAGCACTCTTTTAGGTGTTCTCTTTCAATCTCCAAACAAAAGAGTAGCTGAAATTGAACCGAGCCTCCCAGCAAGTAAGAAATTTCTCGAACCGAACCGATGCCACCTCTGATGGACATGTATTCCGTTAATGTTGTTGTAGTTCACAGCACCACCAGTGGCGGGCGACCTGTAAAAGCTAAAACAAAACAGATCTTCTCGGCGCGGCAACCCCAATTAATTTTGATGCCCTGAGTATGGAAAATGGCGGCAGTTTAGGAAAATTATTTATGATATTCATAGAAATAATTCTCTGGGAATTCCTTAAACTTAGTTTTTAAATTTGAGAAAAACAAAAACGTGAGCAACAAACGCTTAAACGACAAGAAACGCTGCACGATAAAATCGTTTTCATGGTCACAGATGCTAACAAGAACGATATTCTCCCACGTATCTCCAATTTACCTCAAATAGATTCAATTTATTTGTATTCTCAAGGCGGAAGTACAATGACATCAAATCACCATTTCACAAATGATTATGCTGATAAAGTAGCCTCTCTTAACGTTTGTTGCAGTTCTAAATAACTATCATCGGAATTGCTATGTAGCAGCACTAAGGCGAATGTTTCGAAATTCCTGTCATGTTCTTGCATTGTCTTCGTTAACGGTCCTGCTGGTGATGAAGAGAAAAGGACATGTCCCAGAATCTTTGATGCAGCTGTTCTAATCGAGTGAAAGATTCGTTGCATGTGTTGCCTTAAAGAATTTGTTTCCATCATAACACTCCAGTCAAATGCAATATCATTACGACCATTTTTCTAAATACGAACAAAAGAAAAAACATTTTGTAGTTCTTAAAATAGTTGTCTTCGATAGTTATTTATAATGATAGTTCCAGTAATGTTCTTCCAAAATACAGTCCATACAATTCTGCAGCGAAAAGTGTATTGGAATTCATTTTAAGAGAACGGGTCCGAGAAAAATTATTTTATCGAACACCCATTGTAAAGAACCACTGTTTTCTGGAAATTCAACTTGTGAACGTGTTAAAACGTTTTCTAATTAATCAATAGAAAGAACGCTCTATAAAAGCTTTAAGCCTCAGAAAGATTTCTTTTTGGTTAAGCCGTTATGAAGATACCCTAGGTCAGCTTTCTCTTCCAACACGCCTATTTTAGTTGCATCATGCATAGTTCTAACAGAATACATAATGTATGGTTGAATTGGAATGTTGAACAGTTACTAAAACAAACAAGAATACGAAGTTTAATGTAAAAGTGCGATTATGGATTCTTGTCACCGATTTGGTGTATTTTTTGTAACATTATTTGCTAATGGACATGTATTCCGTGAATGTTGTTGTAGTTCACAGCATCATCAGTGGCGAGCAACCTGTAAAAGCTAAAACAAAACAGATCTTCTCGGCGCGGCATCCCCAATTAATTTTGATGTCCTGAGTATGGAAAATGGCGGCAGTTTGGGAAAATTATTTATGATATTCATAGAAATAATTCTCTGGGAATGTTACATCCAATTTAAGAGTCACTGCACGAGTGAAACGATGAAAGTTGCTCACTCAATGTCTGAGTTTTTGGCTCAGAGTTTTACTGTACGTAGAGGCAACATATATAGGAAATGTCCATACTTTTTCATTCCGAACACTAAGTTAAAAAGTTATGGAGCTTTTCGTAAGAACCCTAAAAATAGCCTAAAATGATATTTGTATAAAAGTCAAATTTGTGATGTTTATACGTTGGTCAGAAATCAAACAGCTATAAATTTGTTCTCCGCTTTAAGGCGGTTCGAATGCTGTGTGGAACAAGGCTTCATCTCCTAAGACAAGAGGTTTGATACTTTTTTGAGCGGAGGATCAGATTTTTGAGTTCTCTTGGAAACGAATTTTTTACCGCCGGTTTCGTAATCAAGTTTTTCCATAAAATGGCGATATGCACCTCATGTATAGAACAATCTTCAGGCTGTTCAAAACAGTATTCAGATTTCTTCCAGCTTTTACTGAAAAATCAAGAGCAAAGGAGTTCTTGTGATCATGACACACTGTACTGCATATAGAACACTCAAGCGCTTCTTTTCCATATCTTTAATGACTAACCCCATCTATCCAGATATTCTGACTAGCTCAGTTTGTAGAGAATTTCATGGACTATCCAATGATATTCTTTTAAAAAAAATATAGTTTCTCATTAAGACAGAAAAATGACTAAAGGAGTGCTTCACAGGCGTTTTCTGTAGGTTCAACGCGTTTTATGCATGTTGTCGATGACCGGACCGACCGACCTAGATTGTCTGACTGTCTCAGTTTGAAGAGAATTTCAGGGGCCATCCAAAAGTATAGTTTTGAAAAATATATATAAAGAAACGAAAACGTTATCGGAAAACAATTTGCCTGATTTTAGGGGAAAACGCCTAAATTTTAATAAAATTCAAATATCTCAAGAGCGAAAAAATTTTAGAGAAGAGCGATTTATACTTTTTTCTACATTTCAAGGCGAGCCGAATGGCGTATAAACTTGCTTCGTGTGTTAACCAAAGAGCTACGAGAAGTTTGCAGAATGAGGGACTCGAAACCGAAGATATATCGGTCCCATTTCGCGCGCAGCAAATATTTTTTGGTGTTGAACCTTACAATACAGTTTTCTAGATGCAGTTTTCAACGCTGAATAAGAAAAACATAGTTTCACGGCTGCGAAATGAGGTGGAACCCAAGTTATTCGGTTCTTAAAAAAGGTTCTTGATTTTTCAAAAAAATAGATCCTTCAAGTTTTTTGAATTTGTTTCACCAATAATGTAAACTGGGAGGCTAAAAATCAGATATTCTTGATCACCGTGAAATTCTCTATCGAATGATGCATGATATATGTTTAAGCCAAAAATAAAATAGTGTATAATTTTGAATTTGGAGCACCTTACACTTTTTATATTCCGCCCTGGGCTCTATTACCTGTACTTACTTGCGCTTCACTGGTCGCTTATAATGTATTTTTACACGTAATTCTTTGAAATAAAGCCTTTTCAACCTTGTCGTAAACCAATGAGGAACGTGAGCTCGTCAGATTCTGTGAAACGTTTTTTTGTTGACCCAATAAGAGATATCGTTTAGTGCCCTTTGTCTTTCTAATCCTTAATTTATAAACGCCCATGTGGTAACTGTTTCGTTCTGTTTTATTCGTTCTTCTAGTAACTGAATCAGCTTCTTTTTGTAGCTGAGAGGTTCTTAGTTAAATATATGAATCACTTATTTGTTTTTAGTCAATCCTTTATTAAATATATGAATCAAAAATAGTAATATTGGGCAACGATTTTTGTGTCACATAATATACAAGGTATGCAGTTAATCTAAGATTGCATCTAAACTGCAAAACTTGTAATATATATGAATCGCTTATTTATTTTTAGTCAAGGCAAAATGTTATAGGTTTTACCCTTTTTCTACTGTATTGTACAAGCTATTTCAGAAAACATTGATTTGATACCTTTGAATCTATCACTATTTTGCAAACGAAACCGGTCAGTGTATAGCGAGCTGATGTTACATTTAGCGCAGTAAGAGATGGAGGGCCATCAAGTATATATATGAAGACAAGTGTTTTTTATTTAAGAACCACAAAATGTTTTTTCTTTTGTTCGTATTTAGAAAAATGGTCGTAATGATATTGCATTTGACTGGAGTGTTATGATGGAAACAAATTCTTTAAGGCAACACATGCAACGAATCTTTCACTCGATTAGAACAGCTGCATCAAAGATTCTGGGACATGTCCTTTTCTCTTCATCACCAGCAGGACCGTTAACGAAGACAATGCAAGAACATGACAGGAATTTCGAAACATTCGCCTTAGTGCTGCTACATAGCAATTCCGATGATAGTTATTTAGAACTGCAACAAAAGTTAAGAGAAATAGTTAACTATGTTAGAACATTTATTGACATTGACACATGTGAACAATGGCTTAAACGACGAGAAACGCTGGATGATAAAATCGTTTTCATTGTCACAGATACTAACAAGAACGATATTCTCCCACGTATCTTCAAGTTACCTCAAATAGATTCAATTTATTTGTATTCTCAAGGCGAAAGTACAATGACATCAAATCACCATTTCACAAATGATTATGCTGATAAAGTAACCTGAAAATAAACAAATTAAAGTGCTAAGCACGCATAATCAAATGAATTTTTGTGTACCTAGATTCGCGGTGTCATCACAGATAGTGACGATTTAATACACAAAATCCTCGACGATCAAAAATATCGCGAAAATCGACACGAAGCTACTATTGTGTTTCATAGTGTTAACAGCACATCCATCACCACTGAAAAATCCTCATCTGAATTGGATGGTAACTTCCTCTGGTCACAACTATTTATCGAAGCTCTGCTACGAATGCCAGCCACAAGCACTCTAAACAATCGTAAAGAACTAATTGCTCTCTGCAAACAAATTTATGCCGGTAACGCTGCTGAACTTCGTCTAATATGCCTATTTGAACAGACCTATTCACCGCAGAACGCTGTACGATGGTATACGAAATCAAGTTTCGTCTATCGAATATTAAATAAAGCATTGAGAGTACAAGATATTGAAACTCTGATCGCATTTCGATTTTTCATTATCGATTTGTATCAGCAGTTAAAGCACTTGCAGCAGTCTAGTATGCCAGACAAACCAATTACTACTGTTTATCGTGGACAACTCATCTCTCGCAACGAGTTAAATGGTCTCAAATCAACTGTAGGACAATATCTATCGTTCAATAGTTTTCTTTCTACTACACGTGAAGTTGATGTAGCAATGCTGTTCGTCTCGCATGCAACAGATAATCTGCAACCGGTGTTATTTGAAATTGAAGTGCCGTCTAATATTAACTCGAATGCAAAACCCTACGCTGATATCTCGTCGGAAACCGAGTTTGGTATCGAACGAGAAGTTCTGTTTATGCTGGGATCGATCTGCAAGGTTATTGATGTGAAAGATGATCAAATTATGTGCAAAGTCAAATTAGAGTTAAGGAGTGAAGATGATTCTCAGCTGAAACAACTATCAGATTATTTGAAAAATCACCTGGCAAAAGAAACTTCGCTCTATCATCTTGGTTACGTTCTAAGAGAAATGGGGAAATATGGTAGTGCAATGAAATGTTATGCGCAACAACTGAAGGAAATTGAGGATAAGAGTTCAAATGAAGCGGGCTTGTGTTATCAGGGTATGAAGAAATACTGAAAACTTGAAAAACTAATTCTAACTTCATTTCTTCGGTTTAGGTCTTGGCGGAGTCGCTTGTCTTACCAAACACTACGATCTATCAATACCCTACCTTCGAAAAGCCTTAGAAATTCAACAGACATTTCCTGATAATGAACACAATATTTCCAGTTGTTGGAACAATCTTGCCAATACGATTAGCAACAGTGGTGATTATGAACTGGGCTTAGACTATTTCTGTAAATCTTTGGAGATACGAAAATCACTACCTGGTCATCATCTTGAAGTTGCTACATCCTACTATAATATTGCACACACCTACAGTAAACAGGAGAAGTACGAGAAAGCTCTAGAGAATTTCTTGTATGCATTAGACATTCAAAAACAACATCTACCTGCGAATCATTATCAAATTGCACAGACACTCATGAAAATCGGTGCTGAACATGGTTTCATGAATCAGTATGAGACGGCTTTCAAATACTTTCAGCAAGCAGATAAGATCTATCGTCATTCACTGCCATCAACGCACACAGACGTCATTCACGTGAAACAGGCTATGGAGGCTGTTCAAGAAGTGATATTGAAAGATAACAGTGTTCCTTCACGCGAGACTAGCTAGCAGAATTTCTTTATTTCGCAAAGTTTCGCACAACTGACGAGTGGCCCATAAAGAGTTGCGCTGTTAGTATTTTCAAATTTTCTCCTCCTCCTTACACTTGATTGACCTAGCTAATTAATTGAGCGCGAAGCTAATTCTAGATAGCAGCCTGGTGACCTAGAAGTCACAGAGAAAAGTAAGTTCGCATGAACTTAATAACATTTAGCTATAGTTACTCACCTGCTAAAATAATCTTTGAATCGCCTTCAACGGCTAAGAAGACAACTGTTATGGGTTTTAAAAATGGAACACTAAGTTAAGAGACTTGAGACTGACTGCGATTACAATACTATCTTTCTTGTCTCGTCTGACTGTCAACGTCTGTTCTGGTCTTGCACGAAACTTTTCAATATTTTCATCATCCATAAACATAAAATCAGTATGATTTTCCTCTAACAAATCACAGTTTTTATCGTCATCATCCGCCTCATCGCTCTTCAGCTGTCATTTGAATAGTAAACATATTCGTCATTTTCGGCTTTTAATAATGAACGATTTCGAAACACTGTGCGTACATTTTTGTATTTCAACTTGGACTCAATTACCTGTACTTACATACACTTCACTGGTCGCTTATAATGTATTTTGATACATATTCTTGGAAATAGAGTCTGTGCTTTCAACCTTGTCATAAAACAATGAGAAACGTGAGCTCGTCAGATTCTGTGAAAGGTCCTTTTGTCTGTAATCCCTCGCAGTAGTTGCACCGTTAGTGCTAGATGTATGTGCCATACTTGAAAATAGAAGGATATTATTAGTGATAGAAATCTGACGTCAATCTTCTTTTTGAACGAGACTAATCAGTTAACGAAGTTCTGTTAAAAACCTACAAAACACCTCTTCACTCCGCATTGTATCTTACTCGTGTAACGCAACGAAAAAAAACATAAAACATTTTTCGTTTTGATTTGAAGATAAGAAACACAAAAGAAAAATGGTGAGTGTTCTTTACGATTCTTCAATCAAAACGAAAAATGTTTGTTGTATTTGTTGCTTTTCTTCTTCGTTGCGTCTTTTTTCGTTTTGTTTTCGTTGCGTTACACGAGTAAGATACAATGCGGAGTGAAGAGGTGTTTTGTAGGTTTTTAACAGAACTTCGTTAACTGATTAGTCTCGTTCAAAAAGAAGATTGATGTCAGATTTGTATCACTAATAATATCTTTCTATTCTCAAGTATGGCACGTACAGCTAGCGCGAAAAAGTGTCGAAAATTGTCGGAAATATTGAAAAGTTTCGTGCAAGACTAGAACAGCAGGGGTGAGATTTCACCTGAAAAACCTGAAATGTTTGGGAAAACCTGAAAACCACCTTACTTCTGGGCAAAAAACCTGAAATACCTGAAATTTCCAAAAGGTTTTATACTAGAGACGATTTTCTTCTATTTCTACACAAATTATGTAAAAAGAATTTTATTATAAATGGCTAATTACACATATCAATACAAATGATATCCTAATATATCTGGCGCTCCTGCTCTTAAAATATATGACTGCGAATCTTCCGAAGAATTCAAGATTAAAACGATTTTTTATGATCACATTAGATAAAGCGTTCAAAATTACCCATAAAACCCAAGTTTTTGAACCTTAGAGCCTAAAAATGAGTGAGTTACCGATTTT